AGAGCCAAAGATGTTAGAATTGTGTCGATGTCCCAATATTTCTGGACCTGACTGTACATTGACAGGCCTGGGCTCTCAGTGACAATTTAAGGAAAAAGAGGTCAGGAAGCGGAAGATGTAGCTGCAGGAGTTAATTGGCTGTTCGGAAGTGGCAGCCCGTTTGGTGCTTGGTTTGCCATCCTGTTCCCATGATTCCCTCCATCTTTCCAAAAGGTCCTCAGGGTTCAAACTATGCAAGGGATCCAGGTGCTAATTTGCCTCTCCCTTTAATTCATTTATAAAAACCCTACTTCAGGTCCTCCATCAGCAGGCTGAGACCCTTTTTCCTTACCTGCTCCTCTTTTGAGCCAGGATGAGCTGACAGGCTGGGGGACCAGCTTGCAAAAGGGCTGCTGCCCAAACTAGATCCACTACTGATACTCTGGTGATGGCCAGATGTGGTCACCTAAGCAGAATAACTTCATCAGCAGTAAACAACATGGAGGCATGCATACCACAGTTCTCCTGTATCCTGATCTACTATATTGACCCACTCAAGTTTGTACAGTATTTATACCTATCAATAGGTATTTACCCATTTACCTCCTGTGACTTTCAGCAGATGGCCCCATGCCACTTTTAAATTGTTTCTAATAAAAAAGGCAGAATTTCAACTACACCCCTCCCCCACCCTTTTCTCAAAGCTTGATCTCAAAGCCAGCCTTGAGAAATATTGAATAGGTATAGGATTCTAAGAAACAACCTTATTTTTACAAATGCTTTTATTTTTTCCTTCAAATATTATTTATATATGTTGACACTCAGTGACAATTGACTCATTTTTCTGAATAATCATTAAAACCCCAAAGATATTTTTTCTATAGTGTGTGGTAAATGACTGTTATTACCAGCCAAGATATACCTACTACCTAGAAGAAGGTCCAGTTTAATATCTCCAACTTGGGTTCCCTAGAGAAAGGAGGGGAAAAATGGGAATTGCCACAGAAAAGGAAAATGCTAAGATTTGCACCTAGCTACAGCATCCGCTTTCAGAACCATAAACAAATGCTGTTGGGAGTTGGAAAATGCATTACTCTTTATAGCAGCCTGTCTTAAGTGTCTGCTTGGAGATGATGAACTTGTATGCCAATCGACTAAGTTTTAAAAGTCTGATTTACAGGCTGGCATTTTCACTGTGTCCATCTCCTTCAGTGACTGGGATCATACACTGCACTAAATGCTGTTTTGCTTAACCATGGTTTATTGAATAAATTAGGACATAGTAGAGTAAATCCCTTGTTCTATGTGATTACATAATTGACATTTTATTTTAACAGGGCTCTGATTCTGCCACTAGAATGCCTCACTCAGCCTCATAGTAAAATTAACCTTGTACTCATAGAATCCTAGGGTTGGAAGGGACCTTGGAGGTCTTCTAGCCCAACCTGCTGCCCAGGGCAGCAATTCTTAGATCTTCCCAAACAAATGGCTGCCCAACTTTTGTTTGAAAACCTCCAGTGATGAAGCATCCATGACTTCAGGAGGAACATTGGTCCACTGCTTAATAGCTCTCATGGTCTGGAAATCCTCCTTATTTTGAACTTGGATCTCCATGTGTGCTCCCACTCCCAGTCTTTCCAAGCTATCCTTACCATGTCTGAGACATAATGGCTGCCATCAAACATTGGTCCTTCCTGGTTGCCATGGGAAGTCCAGCCCTGGTATCCTGAAGGAATACCAGTATAGTCAAATTGCTTGTAGGATCCAACTGGAGAATAATCTTCCTCTGGGTAGTGTTCAAGTTCATCAGGAGAAAGGTTGGAGTAGTCAGTTTCTGGAGTTGGTGGCTGAAAAAAAATTCCAGTAAAGAGGTCAACAATACACAAACAACTTTTCCTCCTCCCCAAACAATTCAGGGGATTCTGACTTAGAGGTCTATTCCCCCAAGGTTGGAGAACAGTGTCTGCCCCATGGAACAACCCCTCCACCCCAAAATTCAGTTGGCCCCAGCCCTGCTGACCTTTAAGAAGGTCCTGGAGGCCTATTTCTTCCCCAGGTACTGGCCCGGTTATAATTATATGAGTTGTGGGCCTGATCCTCCCCGCAGTATTTTTATTTTTTTATCATTTTCCTTTGTATTTGATGTTTTTAACCCCTCTTAGATACCCTAAGTCACTTGGTGAGTGGGTGGCCATATAAACTGAATGAACAAACAAACAAACAAACAAAAAACCACCTAAAAGAGCTACATAGTATACCTGAAAGGGCTATAAATCCATTTCCTGCTGTTTTCCAGGCTTGTTGAGTCTTTTCCTTAGAAGATGGATGTGGTAGCATCCATTGATCTAGCCCAACTCTCTGTAGCAGCCTTCCCCAAGGCTCTCCAGATAAGCACAACTCTAGCTCCCATCATCCCTATACCTTTTGCTTGGCCACACTGTATAAGGATGATCAGACATATAATTGAATTCATCTGTAAGCAACCACTAAGCTGAGGACAACTATTCCAGGAACAGATGACTGTTAGCAATAAAGTTAGGTTCCTATTTAAAATACTTTGTGGTATGTCCCAGCATTTAGCTTATTTTCTGTGCCAGAAAGATAATTGTGAAGTCAAGCCACTATTTTGTCAATTATTTTTAATTAAATCCAGATTTATTTATTTATTTGAGAATGGGAACTGCTAGATAGGGCACATGGACAACCACAAAAATCTCTTTCTCCATTATGTAGTCATCCTAGACAACCTATTATTGGTCTTTAACATGGCAATGCTCACTAAGCTTCCTGAGTCACAGGATACATCTATAGCTCACCCTAACTTTGGCTCAAAGACACCTTGCTAATTGTTTCCTAACACGTATGCATGATGTGGTCTTGCTCTCAACCCCAGCCTACAGCCAAAGCCAGCTCACATGGGTGGTGACCACAGTGATGAAGTGGCAGGGGATGGAAACAGCCCAACTCCTCTTGGCTGCTGCAGACATGCCCCTCCTCTCTGGCCACTGCCAACTTCCCTACATGACCATTTTTGTTTGTGCTGCTGGACTGATTTAACACCAAAAGAGAACTAGCAGCTCCAAGTTCACTATAGAAAACAGCAGATCAGGACCTTTCTAAAGTGGCCCATGTAGGAAAAAAATGGCCCAATTGACACGCAGGGTGCTTTGTGGGGTGCTGCAGCTAGAAGATTCTTTGTATTTAAAGGTTCTGTCACACAGGTCAGTCTGCTGTTCTAGCACTTGTTAAAACTCACCTTCAACCCCCAACTATACCAGGGAGAGATATTGCTGGATGTTTTTCCCACAAGCAGGTAAATCCACCAATTACTGAACTTTAACTTGCCCTGCAATCAATTAGGACAGTACCCCTCTCAACCCTCATACAGGCAGAGCAAATTACAGACAGAACAAATTATGCCAGCATATTTTTATGCTACTTTATGGACTGGAAAAAAGCTGCATTAACTTGGTCATCAGAATGTGGCCTCTCACTGTCTTGGGGTGCGAGCCATCCTCTGTTACCACTAATTGAATGCGCCTTCCATGGCTTGCCAATGCCAACAAGACTTCACTCAACATCTAGGAATCCCCTCCCATCCACTTACCCTCTGATCCAGAGAGTTGTAAGGAGTAAATGCAGGCTGCATCTCTGAAGGATTGAGAATCTCATTCACCTGGGGTGCATCCCACGATGTCTCACCCGTGGCTGCGTTATAGAAGAATATCTGCCCACTGGCCTCATCTACATATTGGTTCCACTCAGCAGGTGTGGCAGGGCTGGGAGAGTGAGAATGGGAAGGACTCACGCTATTCAAGGAAGCCTCAAAGGGAGATTCCCATGTTGTCTGACCAGTCACAGAATTGTAATAGAACAAGCGACCACTTTCAGTGTCAGTGTGAGTTTCCCAGGGGTTCAAGGGGTTGCTAAGGCACGGTCGGAACGAGGATTGGGCATTGTTCGCAGTGGCAGTACTGTGCTCCAACCGAAGTTCTCGTAGGTTCACATATACTGGATCTGTGGCCACTTCTTCAAGCGACTGTGAAAACAATAAAGAAAAGTCATCCAGGCACATCATAATATGAGACCCTTCCCTTAACCAACCCTCTGAATGGCTTAAACTTCTATAATTCCTAGCTAGCTGCTAAGGAGCCAGGATTGAAAAATCACATTTAAAAATTAATAATTAATACCTCTAACAAATTCCATTTAAAAAATAACAGTTTAAGAAGGAGTAAAAGAAATCAGATAATACACAATTTAAGGAGAGATACAAAGTTTTAACTATTCCATATTCAATATTTCTGTTCCAGAAGACATTTGTATAGAGAAAGACTATACAAATTAAAGGAATCTTCAAGGCTCTTTGTGCATAAATAAATGTATTTTAAAGTGTGGAAAACAGCCTTGGCAAAAATACCAGGACTACAATTATTTTGAGATGTAGTGCTGCTTGCTCGCAATGGCCTGACATTTTATATTAATAAGCAAACAGTTCATTAAACATTCCCACACCCACACAAATGTGTTGTGCTGTTTACTCAAAAATAAATCAAACCTGCAATGTATCCCTCAAGCCTGTCACTGTTCCTTTTGATGACTCATTACATTTTTTATTGGTACCCTACCTAATATTTCAAAAACAAAGTAATATTTACAGAACAGCTTACATCTTCCACCTTCCTTTGTTTTCACCCTGTCAACTGACCTAGTCTTAGCTGATCTTTAAGTTGACAGTTAACATACTCCACAAAGTTGGGCTGTCTTCCATCCAACCCCTCTGTTCTCACCTGTGAACTTGTGTCCTTTAATCGTAGCCATGTGTGCATCAATTAGCAATGAACATGCATAATTGTTTTGCCAAAAAAGATGCATCATTTTCAGCTTAAGCCAGTTTTTTCTTGCTATTTAACTCTATTAAATAGCCAAACTGACAAAATAAAACTCCAGTAAATATTAGTTATATATTAAATATACTGCAATCCCAAGATTTATCTCAGCAATCAGAAATATATATAAGACTTTGTATTTCTGAGATCTGGAACAAAGAAACTGAATAAGTTTGGAATCCAAATAAAGGGGAAAACTTGGACCAAAAAGGCTTTTCTCTGGATTCTGCTTTTTAATTCTGATCATCACTCCTTCCTTTCAAAGTGATTTTAGTTCACTTTCGATGCTGTCATTGGAATCTGTATTGCTCTGTCTTACATATGTATGTGCTAAGTGCAATATTTCTACACTAAATGCAGTGTTATGGTAACCTTGCCAAATCCGGTTCTTAGATAGGTTGGACTCCAATTCCCATAATTCTAAGCCACTATATAAGAGAGACACAGAAGAGAAACTAGAAATTTAGATGATTTTATTTTCCTGGTCAGAAGTGAGAAAGCACTTGACTGGTTACATGAAGAGGTTTTTTTTTTTTTTAACCCCTTCAATTTTTTTTCTACCATTTGGACTATGACAAGAAAAATAAACCACGCCACCCAGATGAAGTTTAATTGAAATCAAGATTTAACTTTTGGATTGGATTAGAATTAAGACCAAAAAAATATTGGTCAGATTCAATCCTCTGGAATTTAGTTTGGTGAGAATTAATCTGATGATTACCTACTTCTAAAGTGTCTAAAATTGTTCAGGGCTATGACATAGATCAGACCTTGCTTACAATCTTGAGTAGTCTTCCTCAGCCTAATGTCTTTTTGAACTGGTGGGCTCTGCTCCTACCATCTTCACTCAGCATGGTAATTTGCCCTACTGGCAGAGGATGAGGAGAATTGTAATCTAGCATTTTTGGAGAGTACCAAGTAGGAAAAGTCTTTAGAAATAAAGATACCAGGGAGGACAAGTCCAACAAAAAGAAAGTGGTGAATCAAGATTAACAAAGTGGAGCCACAAAGTCACGGACATTGGAGAGGTAAGGCTTAGAAATGGGTGACATGGAAAGAGAACTAACATGATTCTATGTGTTGGCACACAGAGCGGACACACAAATTACTCTCAAGGGCAACAAGCAAGCCAACGGATTCTGGACTATCTCTGAATGGGGAAGTTACTGATTTATTCTAGGGCATGTAAGTACTGGGGTTTGGAGACAAAAACAGATCCAAGTTGCTCAACAATTCAATGCAGAAGTGCTACCAAGACAGAACTGCCGGCCAAAGGAAAATCTGTCATACTGAAGCAGAATGCTCAACTCCATAGCTCATGGATATTCATGATGCTGTGACTCACCATACACAGCCAAAGTTATAAGAGAGGGTAGCAGAGAAACATTTACTTCCTATTCCTTCCATCAAAATCTATTAGAGAGGATCACATTCCAGAGGTGGACATGGACAGAAGATAAATTACAAATCATATGATTGTTACATTTGTTTGATATGTGGCAGACATTTACATTAACCCTGGCCATCCACTGTATGAAAAGCCAGTTTGGTGTAGTGATTAAGGCATCAGGCTAGAAACCGGGAGACTGTGAGTTCTAGTCATGCCCTAGGCACGAAGCCAACTGGGTGACCTTGGGCCAGTCACTCCCTGTCAGCCCTAGAAAGGAGGCAATGGTAAACTACTTCTGAAATCTTGCCAAGAAAACTGCAGGGACTTGTCCAGGCAGTTGCCAGGAGTCAACACTGACTTGAAAGTACAAATATATATTTATACCTCCACCCACTGTATGTAGTTTTTACTTGGGGAATAAAAAGGAGTATATAATGTCAATAACCAGGACCAGGCTCAGAGAAGAGCATGCTTTGGAGAAAACCAGAAGCTCTAAATGCGAAGTCTGCAGATTTATATTTAGTACACCAGCCGAACATGCTACAACCTGGGGATATCCTGTGTCTTTTTGAACATAAATTCATTCAAAGATAGGCTGGGTTTGCACAATGTCATAGTTTGTAGTACAGCTTGCTGTGGCAACTCAATCATTATCTTAGCATATTGTATACAGTAGCATCCTTTCCCCAAATCCTACATGCCACCTGCTGCTTCTGCTCAAATTTCAGGGGATAGTTTTTCTTCCTGGCCTGAAAGAGCATGATACGGCAAAAAGAAAACACATTCAAGGAAATTTGGACATGTGGCAACCCAACTGTTAATACACTAAACCCTCCATGTGGGTTATGTGTTTTCAGTCATAGAGTCAGGTAAGACAGTATTCTCAATTACAACCTCCCCTACTTAAACCCAATCTGGACCAGCTGTAATTTGCTGAGGACTACATGTATTACAATTGTTTTTGCACACCTTTAAAGACCTGATCATGTGGTAAAAGGAGGAATTCCTACATTCTGATCTTATTCTTTTCCCTCCTTTTCTTTCTGCACATGCTCATAGCCAGTATTTCTCTCCCCCAGAGTTACCATCAAAAGCTGTGTCCTGGAAAAAAACAGTTCAGAGAAAGGAAAGACATGAAGGCACCAGATTTTATGCAGGAGAGGCAGACCTGAAAAGAGACTCTGATGTATATTTGTTCAAAAAGTAAGTCCCCTTGAGTTCATTTTTCTTCATTTGCATAGAGTGACAGCCCAAAATAACTGGCTTGCTTCTTCTCTTACTTCCTGTAAGGATGATCAAGCTCTCAAGCTATTCCTTCTTTTTTACCTTTTGCATGCCAATTTCCTTTTTGCCACTATTCTTCAAGCACAGTTTGCAATGATCAGGTAAGGGAGCACACAATCTGGCACCTTCTAGATGTTTTAAACTAATAATCTTTGACCAGTGGTCACCCTAACTAGAAATCACAGAGGATTATTCAAAACATCTAAAGGACATCACAGATTGACTATCCTGTTCAAGCAATTTCTATTTTGGTTTTTTGGTTTCATGTGGGGTTTGGCGATAAGGATAAATCATGCTATATTCCAATTTGTGCATTATAGAAAGACACAGTTAAGAGCAACCATTCCTACCTGAACACCTTCTGGATATAGGGCATAGCAAAGACAAGAAACTGGAGAATTACAATCCAAAACATCTGGAGATGTCAGCCCTTCGAGATAGTCCAGACAGGATACCAAAACCATGAGTACTAATACTACCTTTATTGTAAGAGTACAGTAACAGAATCTTGCAAGTCTGAAAGCACTTGCCCCCTCTCCTGCCTTTACTTTCCAGAGCTGGGGGGGGGGGGGGGGTGGC